GAACGAGGCAGAGATGGAACCATCGCAGCTGCGAATAGTGCGAGGGACTTCTCGCCGGAGGATCTATTCTCCGAAGCAAACGCCGTCGAGGAAGCAAACGACGGAGGCGGACGAGTCGGAGATGCAACGGCTGGGCGGGTCGTGCCGGCGACGACTGGCACCTGTGCCACTGGAGGAGGAAACGCTCAGGGAAGAGGTGAGGAAGAAGAATGACGGTCTTCTCTCCAACCCTAGGACGCCGCCGAAGAAGAAAGAAGAGTGTGTTCGCCGTCAGACTCGTGGCCGCCGGGCAATCGGTGGGTTTGGGAGCCAGCAAAAAAGGGTTCGAAGAATGATGATGGCGGTCGCATCTCCTCTCTCGCCAACCCTATGGCCGCAGCAGGTGAGAGATCGGGCCGGACCAGAGGTAGGTCTTGGGCCATCTCTTCTAACCAGCCAGAGTGAGTGGGCAAAATAAGTCGGGCTCGATGTTCAGATGGGCCAGCTCTTGGAGTGGAGGAAAACAGAGGAGCTCGAGCTTGGCTCCCAACGGGTCGAGAGGATATGCAAGGAGGGTTTGTGTTGGGCCAGGTGGGCAAGCGAGACGGGCCGAGGTTTGGACTCTCCTTGGGCCGAAGTGGGATAGAAACTTAGTCCATCTTTTGCCTCTTGAGAAAAGAAGGTGGGCCGAGTTTTCAAGGAAGACTTGGGCCACCAATGGGCTTTTCTGTTAGATTAATTTTGCAGGAACAAAATAGGAAGGAACAAGGAAGTGGGGTCGTTGGGTTAAACGTTGGGCTTAATTCAAACCAACTTGAAGGAAAGTGGAGCCCAAAAGAGCTTATCATCCCCACCAAGTCCATGGTGGAATTTACATATCATTTTCTTGAAGACTTCGAGTGGGAGTGGAAAGAAGAACATTTCCCCGATTCTTATTTTGTGGATTTCGAGAAGGCAGAGGGTGAATTGTTCAGCTATGGAGAACATGTCATGTGTCACGTGGTTCGCGAAGAGTTTAAGAAAGTGCGAGTTGTCCAAGAAGAAGTCCTTCGCATGCTGGAGCGCAACTGGAAACAGAGAAAGGGAAGGTCAAGGAGGTGGAAGTCAACTACAACCTTAAGGGCAAGGTTGCTTTCAAGAGGGGTGGATTGTCAGAAACCCGCCATTGGGGTTTCTCTTATTATTTATTAGTAGGATTATCTATTATTATTATAGTAGAGATTTAGTCGTATTAGGATTATTATTAGGGTTTTCCAGTATTTCCCTATAAATATGTACTTTGGGTTTACTGTCATAATCAATCAAGAAGATATTCTAAACCCTAGTTTATCCTCTCAACTCCTAATTACTATTCTCTCCTAATCCAAGGCCTCGGCCGATTCTTTATCTATTATGTTCTTTCTCATCTAAATCCATAATTCCTTCTCTCAATCCTAAATCCCTATTCGTTACGAGTAGTAACGGGTGCCGAATATCAATCCCTAGAAGCCCTAAGAAGCGGGTTTCTTACACCTAGCTAGTTGCTCGATCAGGATGATTTCAAACTCTGTCGTATTAGATGACTACGTATTAGTTCGAATTTTTGTTGGCATATATGCAACGTACTAGAGTAAGCAAGTGTCGATCGAGTGGTTAAATCGCTATAGCTAGCTTGCTGGTTCCCAAGGATGCTAACTCGTCCTATTTACCTCCGAAAGTGACAAACCCTCAAGAACACCAACACCTGCTACAACAAGACAGAAGACAAGACAGTAATCTCAGAAACGACCAAAATACGAAAGAAACAAACTGCATATTTTCCCATCGTACAATTTGCATGCACGTACCCCATCTGGGGAAAGCGATCTCTGGTGAAAGGAACAAGGGCATGTATCGTGGCGAGAATGAAGACAAAAGGGTCAAACCGCACAGCGAAAGCAGAGGGATCGCCGCTTCTTAGCTCTCCTTCCTAATAATACAAACAGTCAAAACTTTCAGCCAACAGGCAGCTCGAGAAAATTATTTTTACTCTAGTTATTGCTACTCCACTAGCTAGATTGCTAGCTTGTGTCAATATCATATGTTATGTCCAAGTCATAATCTTAAGAGCGCCACAAATCGTACTTGAAATGATTGAAGTGTTGGACTTCCATATGCGTGTTGAATGAGATTGTATTGTTAGACATGTGGTTCAATCATGCTTATATACGATAACATATCGGTTCCTGCAGTTTTCTCGTAACATGAAAATTACGAGATATTTTCGTCGTTCAATTACAATATGTTATACAACACATTATCTCCCTCGAAGGATACATCTGTTAGCCGAAGAGAATACTCATTAAAGACACAAACCAAAGTTTCAACCTTCTCGACTGTATTATATGCATCGGGAAGATTGACAATTTTATCCACAAAATCCACGGGCAAGAGACACTAAGACATGGATTTGATTAACATAGTATAGTCTGGATGTTACTTATCCAACGAGAGGATCTCCTTCTTACATGTTTTAGTATTAGGTCTTTCTAATAGTTTAAGATCACTCATTACAATATTTATATAATTTGTTCATCTGCATATCAAAACCTTTGATAATTGAGATGTCTTGTGTTTGAACCCCGACAAACTCATTTATTAATAAAGCACATAATACTCAAATCTGTGGAAACTTCAAACCTTTTCATTAACCAAAGAGTGTTGATCTATTGATTGCCTACTGCAAGACAAATGCCCTAGGTAGCCACGTCTATAACTACACCCTCTCAAAGTCTCAACCCTTCTTTTCCCTCTATATAAGTCTCACCATAATTAACACTACAAACACCAAAACACAAACACAAACAAAAACTCAAGAGTAGTGTAATCTCATTACCTTTTCTCCTCCCTTCACGTAGGAAAATGAGCATCATCGTCAACAAAAGTTCAATCTCCGAGTCGTTCAAAACCAACCCGATCCCAACCACCCAAATCCTCCCACTCGACCTCCACAACCTCCTCAAGCCTCCCCGACTCCCACACGTGGCCTACTTTCCCCGTCCAACCGCCACCGCCGTCCGCCACCATCCCGGTGGTGGACCTCGGCCGGCCACCGCATGCAGTCGCGTCGGCGGTGAGGAAGGCCAGCGATGAATGGGGAGTGTTCCAGGTCACCAACCACGGGATTCCGACCACCCTTCTCCGCGAGGCCGAGTTCGAGGCCAGGAGGCTGTTTGCGCTGCCGGCGGAGGAGAAGCTGGCCGTGGTCCGGTCGCCGGACGGGATCGACGGGTACGGGCTCGCACGGATTTCGAGGTTTTTTTGCCAAGCAAATGTGGTACGAAGGGTTTACGATCATGGGTTCGCCTGTAAGGCATGCGAGTCACCTCTGGCCGAACGATTACGCCAATTTCTGGTACGTTGTTATTATGGGTTTAATTATATCAACAATTAATTAGGTTATATATAATCATTACGAAGATAATACAAATAATAATCTGTTTAAATGTTACGACATTATGGTTTACACTACAGTATTCACGCTCAATCACTCCAGTAGATTATGCATATCCAGGATATAAATGAAAAGTCAAGTTCAATTACAATATTCTGTCTCACCCAATTACCCAAATCAAAGAAACGAAACAAAACAAAAGACAAAGCAAAGGAGTACTACTACGCAGTGTACACTGTACATTTGCATTGTGTATACGGCTGACACGTCAACCAAGAAGGATTTTGGTGTCTTTTCCCGAACTTGGTACAATCGAACTATCATATCGGTTATACAGGGGAATGGAGTTTTGTATATTAGTGTTCAAGTAACTCAATTAGTGCAATGCCTTCATCAGTGAATATCCAAAAATAAAATTATGTGGGTTTGGACCAAAGTTAACATATCGTACTAATTGAGATATACAGTTACTAACAATAATTATATTTATATAGTAATAATTTATTAAAAGTTATTTTTTCGTGACAAGAATGTGGTTCGATTCGAACATAATTTTACTTTTTACATAAACTAAAAAATCTAACACTTCAACCACTTGAACTATATAAACTAGTTAACTAAAGTTAGGATACCTAAATATGGTTTCTCCACTACCCTCTTCCTTGTTGGGCTTTGTTTTTCCGTAGCCGTTGAAATGAAAGATATGGCATTTTCCTTGTTGGGCTTTGTTTTTTTCGCAGCAACGTTATGGAAGAGTACCAAGCCCAAATGAAGGCCCTATCAGAGAAGCTCCTCGGCATAATGTTCAAGTCATTGGGCCTAGCCCAAGACGACATCAAGTGGCTCCACTCCAAAACCAATCACCACCCACCACAGGTCGTCCTCCAACTCAACTCCTACCCGGCCTGCCCCGACCCGGCCCACGCTATGGGCCTGGCCCCGCACACGGACTCATCCCTCATCACTCTCCTCCACCAGAGCAGCAACGCCACCGGCCTCCAAATCTCCGGCGACGGCGGCAACCTCTGGATCCCGGTGAACCCGATCCCAGGCGCGCTCACCGTCAACGTCGGCGACCTGATGCACATCGCCACCAACGGGCAGTTCAAGACCGCCCTGCATCGAGCGGTCGTGAACAGGACACGTCATCGCGTCTCCATGGCTTACTTCTACGGCACGCCACAGGAGGTGAAGATATCGCCACCAATGAAGCTGGTCGACGTGGACCATCCACTGCTCTACCAGCCTGTGACGTGGAAAGAGTACCTTGATGCGAAAGGCAAGTATTTCAACAGGGCATTGGAGTTCATCAAATGTGAGGCACTCTTCATTGCAGATAGATGCAGGCAGTTATGATTGAACAAAAAATGGCTGCAAATTTTCTTTGCAGTTTCTCATTGATATCTATAGTAGTGTATGTACATGATGAGTAATCCTACTTTGGCAGAAAGATCAGAGCTCATCTGCAGAGCCAAAAACTTTGGGAGTCTTTCTATAGAATGGACAAAAAAAGGGGACTTAACAAAGTCCCATAAAGCTCCCTTGTACCACAAGAAAGGTGTTACACTATTAGCTATACGGTCAGGAGTAACAAGTCTCTACCAAGAGATCACTTCCAGAGCTTGACAACCATGTCGTGGCTCGCTGTAGCTACCAAGGCGTTGTCGCTTGATACTGCCAAGGCGGAAACCTTTTGCGCGTGTGCTTGAATGGTCATCGTCTTGTTTTCAGCCATGTCCCACAGCTCCAGAGTCTGCAATGCAACAGACCCAAAGTGAAACCTCGTTCAGGTTAAAAGGACGAGACTTTGCAGTCATAATCAAACAAGGGGAGAAAGGATTATCACCTGGTAACATCCGATGATCAAGAGTGATGGATGGGTTGGGTGAAAAACACAGGTGTTGAACCTGTTTCCTGAGTGGTTTAGCTCGCGAATACAATGTCCTTTGCTGGCAGAGCTAATTTTCCAGACTCGTACCAAGTCGTCACTCACAGATGCAAGAAACTCGCCAGATGGATCCCAACAAACAGAGTTAATTGGGCTTTTATGACCCTATAGCAGCAAGCAACAAACAATATTTGCAGAAGAATAACCCATCAAGACTAGGAATCCACGACTTAAACAAGACCATTATCAGTAGCATCTCTCAACATAAACCTGGGGTCGCTAACCATTGAACTCAAGGAGAGAGAGGTGTCAAACCTGTAATTCGAGTTTCCCAACTTGAGTTTCGACATCCAGTATGTAAACCAAATTTTCAGCCATTGCTGCAAGGAGCCTTCCATGGCGAGGTTGAAATCTCATCTTCATAGCATTCTAAACAGAAGGAATAAGAGGAGCGACCTGGATTAACTTAACTTACCTGACAATATAATTTTGGACATTTTGGAGCAACAGAGTTTACCTTGACAACTCCAGCACAACTGTCGTTCTTGATACTCCAGTAGCGCATCTCATTATTACCATCACAAGAACATAAAAGGTCCTCTTTAGTAGGGTGGAAATCAACTGACATGACACTTGCAGAATGTCCTGTGAAGGTCCGAAGTGAGTGGCCTGCCTGCAAATTGTAAGAGATGAAGAGTTGAATGCTGTATTAGTAGAATACCATGTACACAAGAGAAAGAAAACCCAATAGTAAGATCGCTACAAAGGGGATAGACATTGTTTTCTAATGGTCAAATGCAAGAACGAAAGCAAATGTGGAGTGGCAGAGAGCTAATCAAGGTCACTTTACATTATCAGCATCCCAAACTCTAACAGTTCTGTCAGCAGAAGATGTAGCAAGTCTCAACATGCTTGGGCTGAAACGGACATCAGTAATCCACTGTGAATGTTCTTCAAGTGCAGAATTTACTGTGAAAGATTCTGTGCTCCAAAGTGTCACCTGCAGTATATCATCATTCATCAAACAAAATCCTCCATCTTTAATATGACTGTTTAAAGGGGAGATTGACTTAAATTTGTCAAATGGTGAAACTTTACTTTTTTGTCATGTCCGCCAGTAGCAAGCAGCTTTCCATTTGATGAGAAGTGACAGCATTCAACTTTACTTGTGCTGGCTGGCAGGACCCGGATCTCCGAAAATTTGAATCCTAGCCCTAGGATCAGAAAGTAACGTAAGCACTCCTAGTAACTCTGATCTGGCATTGTACTATTGCATTTCCACATACTATAGTGCAAGCAAACTGAAAACATGGGTATCTTTTATACATGAAAATACTTTAGCCTTAGACCTACCTTTAGTGACATCAGTAGACAGACCAACTTTGTCCCTTGGATCGCCAGAATCATGCGAAAAGAAAGATTCGACATTATCATCCAGAGTTTTGTCATCTAGAATCATATCCATATCAGCCTGCAATAACATACCAACGTTCAAGGGCCAAGTGCAATTTATGATTCCAAATTGCAGCTCTATAGAAGAGTAATTAGATGGAGCGTGCAATAGAATGCCCACATGGTATAGTTCTTTCATCGCAAAAATTAACTGAAGTGGACTATTGTGAAGGGGAAAATGCTCACCCAATCATTTGAGGCTGCTGCAAGGGAGCCCAGACCATCAGAATTTGGATTTTGTGGTGCAGTAGGCAGCAACATAGCATCTCCAGGTGTAGAAGGAGAAGTTGGGGATGGGCCAGTGGTGTTTGCAGAAAAAGACACATGCTTCTTTCTCTTTCGTTTTGAAACCTTGAACAAATAATTAGGTTCACTATGTTAATAGCATAATTCGGTACTCTCAATAGTGACACTGGAACAGGAAATCCAGAACCCAAGTGTCGCACATCGTCCAAGCGATGCGTATAAAAGGACTTAAAGGGCAACAGGCAGAAATAGAACAAAACTAGAAACTGTCGACATACTTTCTTGTGCAATTATTTGTTTCAGTTTTACTGAACAAGGTTAATTCACATACCATACCACAAATTCTGGAGTAGAAGATGTATTACAAGGTAGTAAGAGGGTAAGAATGGGCTCTAAGTAGAGACAGAATGACAGATAAAGTAAATTCAATAGCACAAAGCTGTAATTTCGCATCCAACTACTAGTAAAATTTTTCCAAGCAACAGGAACTGTAGTAAACAAGTAATCCAACATAGGACTAGCAAATAAATGAAACACGATCCATTAATTATCAAGCAAACCTGGTCAGTTCTGTGAAAGGTGTTTGACATGCTACCATCTGCAGTAATGCCACCAGAACCAATCATTCTGTCCTGCTGCTGCTGCAGCAGCAAGGGATTTGAATTTTGTGCCTGTTGACTTGAAAGTGGGAGTCGCGGGTACAGTTGCTGGTTGTTGTCTTGAAGTTGTTTCTGCTGTAACTGACAGATCATACCCAGTATAAGTGGGAAAGAAAAGGCATCAGGAAGCTTAGAAGGCTCAACATTTTCTGGGAAACAACCAAGATTCTCCACACATTCACACTTGACTTCAGAATAGTACCTTTACTAGAATATCCGTGTCTCGTGGCATTCCATGGGAACCAACTTGCATTGGTGATCCAATGTTACTAAGCTGCTGAGGACTTTGCATCAACCTTTGATGCTGAAGAAGACCAAATTGATCCTGCCCCTAACAAGGTCACCAATCAGATTGGTTTGCTCTGCATAGCTCTAACATAAGAATGTGCTTCCAAAAACGGTTTTTCAATGCAAAATAAGATTTGTAGAAGACTTCACATGAAGATGTGTATGAGATTATAAGAAGTTTATGATATGAGTAAGTCTTACAGTTAAGGGCCATCCTTCCAGTGGCAAATTGCTTCTGCATTGATTCAGCCCTAAATAAACAAAAGAAGAAGATAGTTGTGGTTTAGCATCTCCACTGGAATGACATGAAGTTTAAGCCATACGCCATAGACACTGGAGTTAGCACTCACTATTCCAGTTATAACTACAATAATAACAATTTAACAGATAGAGGGAGCACTAAATATTAAATACCATGAACTCCAACTGACATTCCTTCTGCACCAGAAGACCAAGGAATCATCATTGTACTCATCTCATTGTTTATGTCATCCTATAGCATGAGAAAATATATATTGCTTGAATTGGAAGCACACAATAATGTCGAAAAGAACAACATAAAAAGTGAGATGCACCTGAGAGGACATAGGTAGTTGCTGATTTCGGTTCTGAGAATGTTGCAGATTTCCCCAACTTCCAGCTGGACCATGCATAGTTTGACTGCCCAAGTATATGTACAAGAGTGATTTCAAAAGCTGAACTCTAGACACCCAATAATCGAACAAAGCAGGACAAGAATTACCCTTGAGGCTGGCCTCCCAATCCAGCTGCTTTCAGCACTGCTGCATTACTTGGATCCGTAAGCTGGTTCATGCTATCGCTCATACTTTGCTGTTTCAGCAATTAATTGTTAGCATTTATAGAAGGAATGGTGAAAGGCAAATAATGCTCGTCTTGAATCTGTCACAAAAGCCAAAGCACCTTCTTAGCTGCATCCTCCAATGACTCTCTCTGAAGTGGATGCTTCAGCTTATCCTCGTACAATTTTGTCGCCATAGCACTGGCAGTTGGAGATGTGTGTCTTGGAGCATCATTACCAACAAGCGATGAATTTGCAGCTGCATTTGGATTATGGCCGCCGTCTCTTCTCTGCAGCTGGTGCTGCTGTTGTTGTTGCTGCTTCTGCTGTTGTTGCTGCTGCTGTTGTTGCTGCTGCTGCACTTCATTTGCCCTTGCAACGAAGAAGTCCCAGAACACAGACCACCATTCCAGCAAAAAACCACCAGGTGCTTCGATAACTGGAGTTGGAGAAAACAGAAAATCATGGCTGAAGGTACATTAAGCCAAAAAGAAAGAAAGAAAGAACTAAAGTGATACCAGTCGACCAAGTTCTAAACAAGCTTTCTCTTTCTTTTTATGCCTGAAAATCTTCCCCGTTCTTTCCTTACCAGGAGGAGCGGTAGGCACTTTGGTTTCAGCTTGGAATGCCTTAGCAGAAGCATGCAATTGCCTCTTCACAAGGTAATCATATATATAGCGCTCCAGCCTAAAAAAACCCATAGGTCAAAACTATAGGAAGAATAACGTAACATGACAACCACCACAAGAAAGCACAAGCTTCTATCTCCAAGAACAGTCCAAGTTAGAAATGCCAAAGCATCCAACTTTCTGCTGCCATTTTCAATTTTTATTCACGAAAGAGGCATAACATGTGAAGAATCAAGAACGGCTAGGTATAGCAAAAGGGAAATTGGACCACTTTGGAAGATAGCACTTTGAAAAGGACGAGTAAAAGGTCACAGTAGTAGCCAGAAAACCACAGTGGAAGCACTAAAAGTCTCAACCTAAAAGAGCACTAAAAGAACCAGAAAACAGGAGAATTCCACTCAATGAGCACGTAGAGTAGAAGATTGACCCAATCCAGCCAAAAATCCAGGGAGAAATTGCGTAAACACAACAGTATCTCATCCTCAGTTAAAAGAAATTAATGTGAGAAACGAGCAGCAAACCCCACAAGAAACCATGGCATGCCCATTTCCAAAAGACAGGACAATCGCCCAATGCAAACATAACCAGGAAAGCCCTATTCCAAGAATCGCCCCCATCATTTCTTGCTCCAAAGCGGCAATGAACCAAGAACCCACTTCTGGAAACCCACGACACACCAAATATAGCAACGAACTCCATGGAAGAAGACGGAGACGAACTCCATGGAAGAAAAGGAAGAGAAAGAGAAAGAGAAAGCACGTACATTTTATCAGAATCAAAGTTGGTCTGAGACATGATGACGGCTATCAGCAGAAACAGTGGCGAGAAAATCCGCGGGAATGAGAAGAAAACGAAAGAATGGAGATTCCTTGAATGCAACCCAGCAAGAATGGCGACTAGCCCAGAAGAAGAAGAGAACCGTCGTCGTTGATTTCGGGACAAAGGAAGCTTTTTCAGTTTTGAGAGGACAAGAATTCCTATACACACCACCCGAAGAAACAGAAAATCTCTCCGCCGCCCGCCCCCTCACACTCACTCACACAACTCTCCTTCTCGCTCCTCTATCTCTCTCTCTCTCTCACACAACCCAGTTCGAAGACGGTTAGTAATCTTGCGGGACAAGAAATGAAACTGGGAGGAGCCTCCGTGGCTGAATCCTTTTATAGCCGGTGCGACTGCAATTTTCCTCTGTTTTTTGGGATGAATCATTTAGCGCCTTTTTTTCTTCCTTTTCCTGCTAAAACTAGCGCCTTTTTTCTTCTGCCATAACGGATCCTAATTACGGCGCCGTTTTATTCTTCTTTTGTTTCTTAATTCTGATTTTTGTTGCTTAACATTTTCCCGCCTGGCAAGCCTTGCATCGGACGGAAGCAGAGGATTAAAACCTGGAGTTGAATAATGTTGACCTTAAATTCTCGATTGATTTATGTCGTCGTCATAGTTGGTCGCGTAAAAACGAATTATCGAATAGTATATATGAAGCCTAATTTACTATACAATTTTTGCTAAATGAATTATCGAATAGTATATATGAAGCCTAATTTACGATACAATTTTTGCTATCAATCTTGGACCTTAACGATAATAACTAGAAGAAACGTTTGAGTATTTTTTTCTGATCCTAACAACCATTAGCAGCTGGATGCCGTTATATTCGTTGAATCGTGCGATTTGAGTCGACACAGTCATGGATGCATGTTGTGATGATTTTGTAACATCAGATATAATAGGGGTTAATTGCATGGTTGGTCACTGACATTACAAAAAGCGTTCATGTTTGGTCACTCGAAATATTTAAATCCATTTTTGGTCACTAACTTTACAAAAACCGTTCATTTATGGTCACTCTACGTTAGCTGCCGTTCAACGCCGTTAACGGCGTCCGTTAAGTGATGATGTGGCTGACGGATTCGCCTAATCATCACCTTTTAACCCGAAAATTGACTGACCCGACCCGCCACGTCATGTAAACCCTCCATGTCAGCCAAACCTAACCAAACCAAACCAGACCCGACCCCTAAATAAAGAACTGACCCGACCCACCAATTAATCTACCCACCTTTGACTAAAACCCTAATCGAAGACAACACTGAAGAGGATGAGCAATGAAGAGCGGTAATGGCGGTGACCGGTTTAGAAGGAGCGAGGAGAAGGACGACGTTGAGAAGGATGCCACTCCTTCGCGATTGAAGCAGGAGGATACTGTTTGCGTTTGGTGCGAGATCGGAGGAGGCGAGAGGGACAGTAACTCCATTGTTAGAGTTCGAGCGAGCAAGAGTTTACGAAGAAAAACAAGTCGGGAGAGAGTTATACTTGGGGACGGAGGGGCATAAGCGATGACATCCCCTGGGCTGGTTTGAACTGTGCTGGGTGATTTGCTCTATTTTGGATT